CATAATGCATGCAAAATAAGTGAGAATGTGTAAGGAGGACAGGGATTGGGACTATTTTTAGGGACGGGAAAAGAAAGCAAACCTCGATGGTCAAAACACAGATTACAAAGCCCAACTGTGCATACATACTAGTTCAAGCATTCTGAACTGCTAAGAAGTGACAACATGACCGCCATTGCTGTCGGTTCGCAGCCATGACCTTCAGTGTCTCCAACTATGCGGTTTCAGAATCTTTTGGACCCCAACTCGGAAGACGAGAGACACCTACTCTACCTAATCGTTCTGTGCATTTCCTCATGCCTCATCTCCACGTCATCTGCTGACCTCCTCGTGGCTCTCTCCACCCTGTAACAGTCACTGCAAACAAGGCTCACTGCGGTAGGCGACCGTCGGACATACGCAAAACGTGTCCTAACCAACGGAGCCTACTCAGCTGGATTCGATGAGATAGCGAGTTCTTGTCTGATGTATTCTCAAACAACCGACGACTTACTTCTAAGTTACTAACCCGCTCACTCCATCCCACTTGGGCCAGACTAAGTAAGCATCGATTGTCGAACACTGCTAAACGACAGGTGTCTTCTACCCGCAAATTCAAGGGCTTACAACCGTAAAGTAGAACTGATCATACAGTGGCGCAGTATACGCGACTTTTCAACTTTAGTGACACGTCATGTCGCTGCCACAGGTGTTACAGTCCTGAGTACGCTGCTCGAGCCTTGGAAATGCGGGTAGTTATCTCCTTCGATGCGCTACCATAGTTGGTCACGCAGCTCCCTAAGTACGAGAAGTATTCTACTTCAGCTAATTCCGGACCGTCTAGTTTCAGAACAGAACTCGGTGATACCCAGTCTTGTAGCATCACTTTGCACTTTGAAGGTGCAAAGCACATGCCGAACGGAGCGACAGAACTTGCTAATCTGCCAAGTGCTCTTTGTGCATCCTCCATACATTCGAACAAGCAAACGATGTCGTCAGCGTACTCCAAATCGCACAGCTTTTCTCCAGCTACCCACTCAATACCTACATTTTGGAGACCACTTAGTGTGTTCTCCAGTATTTCGTCTATGACGAAATTGAACAGGAATGGTGAAAGAGGGCACTATTGACGAACACCGACCTACTCAGCTCGCCGTAGACCCTTACGCTACCAGAGGTATGTAAGTAGAGTAAACTCAGTATATTCACATACTTCTGTGGCATTCCTTTGCGAAGGAGTGAACCCATAAAGGATTCACGATCAACTTAGTCGAAGGCTCCTTTTAGGTCAAGGAACACGACAACCGTTGGCTGACGGTGCGGATGACGTAGCTCGAGGACTTGAAGCAGGAAGATTTGATCGATACAACCGCGACCTGATAGAAATTCTGCTTGTGGTTCGCGGATGTTTGTCTCTCCAAACGGCGTCAGACATTGAAGTATAATGGAGGTTAGTAACTTGGTGACGATTCGGATCAAACTTATTCCGCGGTGGTTTGCGCAGTCATTGCGAGATCCCTTCTTAAAAAGTAGAACGATCAGTGATTTGCTCCATGATAATGGAATGCACTCGTGTAACAAGATGTTACGCATTAAATCAGTAATGGAGTCTACAAGGTCATCGACATCAAAGTGTGTTGAAAATAGGGACAGTCATTGGAAGATGCTCAAAAATGGCGTTAAGGGTATTCACATCCAGTTTATCGTTCGATGGTCAAGTCCTCTGACCACATAACCATATGTTGTGCCAAACAATGTCGGGATTCTCAGATGTTCGTCTATTTGACTCATTCTGATGATTTCCTTAACCACTCGCGCGGTGATCGTCATGACGTGAATTAGCCCTACTGATTCCTGTTTCATTCCGACCGGTCACAATGGCTAGAATGCAGTCGCGTTCCCCTATTTTCTAACTGTTGATCTTCTACACTACCTCAGCCTTATATGTTCATACCTAATTTATTTCGTGATCCGTTTCGGTTTCCACTTCTTGAATAAGTTTTCATTACCTTGCGCAAATTAACTTGGGCAGTGGGATCCTTGTGCTACCTCGTTTCTTATTTGGAATTTATTTATGCCCACAAAACACAACTTATCATCTTATTTTGGTGTTCTGTGACAGCAGCAACCTGTCAGTCGTTGGATTTATCGATTTTTCTCGCAACCGTATGACGTGAGAGACAGATTGTCCTTTTGGTCTATGCGCTTTTATCGTGAACTATTTGAAATAAACGTTTTTCCGTCGTTTTTTAGCCACAATCTCTATCTTATCAACCGTGGCCTAGCGGAAAATAAACACACCTTTTCCACATCCGTCATGCATGATTTCGCATCACGTCTGAATTTTCAGCCCGATCACGTGAATTGGTATCTTAGTGTTGATCACGTGATCCCGAGGACCTCATCACATTTCAACGTGGTCGCGGACTCTTGTTGTAAGTTCGTGAAGCGGGAGTAATGTAGGACTGATGACCGATCGGATTAGAACTTGGACAACAGCCACATACGACGCTAACACTAGAACGCACTCGCACGAACGAAAGCACAGAACCACAGAACAGCACAGTCCACTGCAATGGAAGTGCCGGGCAAAATGGGTACAGAAAACACAGAAACGGATTGCAGAGTGTTCTGCATGTTTTTCCATACGATCATTCTGGTATTCTTGTTTTCTTTTCTGTCCTGCTTTCTTCGTTTATGCACCTACTAAACTGAAACGGACAACGAGGGCGAAACACAAAATTACAAACAGAACGAATATAGTCCATTCTCTTTCAATGTAATCGCAGTGTTCCCTTCTTCCTAACAGACTTTGCCCTTAGTACCTACGGCTAAAGCTACCTTACTTCCTGCTTCTGGGACTTCGACGAGTGATGACAGTGGCAAGGATTCGCTAGCAGACGGAGAGGGTTCGAAAAGAGATACCGGAAGTTATTGACGGTGGGGTTTTAAAGTGCACTGATAGAACTTCTGAGTCGGGCTGCTTTAAATCACCACTGACGTACATGTGTGGGTATCGGACGATGAGGAAGGTTAAAACTTCCTAGGATAACCTTATAGTAGCCTGGAAGGAACAAGACAAGAAACTGTAACCGTCGAACAAAGTCATGCAGTTCGATTGCTTCCGCTTGGGTTTAGATGGATCTTGGAAGCCGGACTTCTTGAGCGAACTGAAGTAGAACCGGTGAGAATCCGGTGACCGCGTTTTTGTGTGCACCATAGGCTATCAGAGCCAGGGTTACCCAGGAATCCTAGTCTCTTGACCAATGACGATCCACAATGGTTTGGGGAATCACCTTCAACGAGCAGTTGTTAGGCTGCACCAAACTGTTACTTTGAGGGAGGCTAGGGTGTAGTCCGTGTGTCCTCTATCTTTATTAGTCGACAGATCAATTTGAGAATGTAGATCCTTGGTCGGAGGGTAAGCTGTATTTGGGTGTTCTTCCCCACCGCATTGAACCCAGCGGCCGAAATGTTAGTATTGTTTGTCTTTCCATTCTACGGGACGAACTAGTCCTGTGGAAGCATCTAAAGTACGACCCTAATGTGAGCGTGTCTACAGGATGCTGCATGTTTTCCTCGTCTGTTTCATCACTTCGGAACTACTGAATATATCAGCTTCTCCAACATCGAACGTAGTCGGCGCATTAGCTGTACACGGGCTTCGTGGCCACGAATGCCCGTACGGAATTGGTCGAGAACTTTTTATAACTAGGGTACCCACAATTGCGTGTAGCTGTAGCACCTACAGAACTCCGAGATAGTCTGGTAGGAACTCGGATGCTGCCTATCGTCGCTGCAACGGTACTCCATATCCCACCCCATCATGTTGGTTTCTGTATTAAACGCTTGCGTGCCGAACGTGTTCGTGTTCGTGATTGTTGGTGATAGTTGCGGCCAAGTGTCAGTGGTATACGAAAGTCCGTTGCTATAGTTTTAAATTGAATTGTTGCAGATAGTCGTACATGCCACCTGATTCCCTTATCCACGCCACATTTGGTGTCAAAAATACAATATGCTGCACCACAAAGTAAAGCAGCGAAAGACGTCCACATCTACTCTCGTGCTTGCCGATCGCGCCTAGTATTGTCAACCGATACCTTTTCTCCGGGGACGGTTAAAAGCTGCGGAAAATACGCATGAGGTATTATCTGCGTATGTAGCCTGTAACTGAGTTACAGTCGTTTATTATTGGATGTCTATCAGATGATCGCGCGAGGTGATTCCTCAAGTGTCACTTACCTCCAGACGCTATTCTTGAAGCGGTATGGAGCCTACCAAGTCGACTATTTGGCAGTCCCACACCCTGCGACGTAAACCGTAAACGTCTTCTGGAGCGACGATAGTTTCCGAGTTCATACAAGACTATCTCAGAGTTCTGCAGGAGCTTGCGCTACACGCACTTCCGGGTATCTTAGTTGAAAAATTCTTGACCGATTGCATACGGGCATTCGCGACTCTGAAGCCCGTGTACATTTAACGCGTCGGGCACCTTTGACTTTTGAAGAACCTGATATATTTCATGGGAGAATTCATCCATTTTTACCATGACTCTGCTTTTAATATTCCAATCTCTCCATTGCTCTTTCATGCGAATGTTTCCAGAAGACAGCAACCAAAACTGCTCCATGAATGAATGAATGAATGAGCATGTTTCGCTGATTGTAAAACTAAAACTGAACTGATTGGTTACCCGAGAGATTTCTACTGGGCTACGAGATAACACCGGATGACTATTTTCATGTTATTTTTGGAGAATATCAGTTGAGTTTTCAAAAATATTGATTTATAGATCTGAATTATGTTTCACATTCACTAATGGGATGAAATTCGATCATTCTCCTTTTTCTCACCTACACCCATATTCTAAACCGGTTTTTCTCAATGGTTTTATCTAACGAAGTGTTCTCACTGTTTCTTTAAACACGTTAAAAATGTTAAATCCGATTAAAATATGTGCTTTGTATACCTCGCAAGTTTACTAAGTTTTCGACACGGTCTCTTTGATGAGTGAATTTATTAGGGATTTGATCAAGTTCCCATTGTTTCGGTCGTATTTCATTTTCCTATTCGATTACTCTATGAGAATTATTTGAACCTAGTTTCCGTTTGCGGTCAATCTGAAGTCGTTAATCACTTTGATTTTGATCGTGAGCGTTTGTTGGTTTGGTTGTTGAGTCAGAACCGGACCCTTGACGATTTGTTTGTGTGCGTTTCGACGTTCACGCTCATTTGTCAGTCTGTGTTTGTATTTGTTTGTTCATTTTGTGCGTTATCAGCCGTTCCAAATTGTTTTTCTACCTCAGATTTCCACTGCAACAACTCACCTCCTCCCCGGAGATTCACGAGGTGCACTTTTATGTGTTGACTTTTCCACTCGTTCTTAACCCCAGTAGTAGTAGAAGTAGTAGTAGTAGTAGTAGTAGTGCATTTGTACACTTTGATGTTTCGCGTTGGTACACGGAAACTGACATCCCCCATGCCATCCACACTGATAGCACTTCGACTGTCTGCTTAATTTCTATTGTCGAGTTTATCACACATACACAGGTTGGTACTCTGTAAGCAAAGTGTGTGCGTGCTCTCAGCTGTATGTGTGTGGTTGGTGTCGGAGACCAGACGGAAAGGCATGATAAACATGACATGGGCTGAACGGCATTTTGTTGTATGTGAATTGGGGAATGGGTGAAACGTATCACAGGAATGACTAAGCAGAAGAAGTAGAACAAATTCAAGCCTTAGCTTTCATTCTACATACCGAAACAAGTAACCACTCCATGTTGTCCGTTTAAACCTTGGGATTAGTGCTCCTGAAACATGCCTTCTATTTACTCACTCCTCATCGATTGTGACTAGGCACTGTTGGTGAATATTGATCAGATGTTACCCAATGATTCTCTCATGTGTACTGACTGCAAACTTTCTGCATTCCTCTGCTGAAATTCTTTCAGAATAAAACCTCGAATGTTTTACCTCTTTTATAAGCACTATTTTTCAAGCGACAGAGTTAGTATCTCGGTAATCAATGATTAGGATACCTTTCTTAAGATGCCATTGCACAGGTTAACCGCACGTGTATAACCGTCCTTCTCTCGCTTGCGAAGTGTGATAAAAGTAACGCAGTAATTACGAGTTTGAAATAACCTAGATAAGGTATTTCGTCCAAGGCTTATCGGTTGTGCAAAACCATTGACCTGTGCACGTTGTGATTGAAAGTTCAGTTTCTGTGCTAGTGCGTATGTGTACATGTGAGGACCAGGCGTGAAACGAAGCGAGGTGATTACCTTTCGGGTAAAGGCCTAAATAATGTATGTGTATACACGCTGCAAACCAGAATTAATCTCATAGACACTACGGCTTTCCTTGTAGTATATCTGGTTGTAAACAGAATAGAGAACTATGTAACTCTGGCACCGTAAGTTGCCTTACTGAACGGAAATTAGGGTGGTGATAACCACGGCGTCTGCATTTAGAGAAGTACGAAGTGATCGTGATCTGTTTTGATCTACATCGTTTGTAAAAAAAGACGAGATCAGAAATTTTACCATATAAAGATCAAATGAATTGTGAGCTGAAAAGTTAGGAAGCACGGAATGACTTTTTCGACCTGGTTGGGTTTCAGCACCAGTGAGCATCAATCGATCCAACTGAAGGTCCACCCCGGGACCTCACAGGTATAACGCAAACATCGTAACCATTTGATTACGGGGAGATTACCAGATCTTTTTGTTTTGCCTATTCACGTTGAATCACATTTGGTCTTTACGAGCTTGGTGTGATCATCGCACCTCGCAACTCTCAGCACTGTTATTTACGGTTATGAATGAGTTACTCTGAATACCGCAAAATTCACCAATTGATCGAGTCTGATCCCCACTACTCTCAAACTCTAACAAAGCCAAAAGTGTTCACCTGTAACAGCTTGGTTTCACCCACTGATTGCGTAATGTGGCTCGGGGTTCAGCAAGTACAACAGGCGAATGTCCCTATCCGGGATATAATTCTATTAGAAAATACGCTACTGAAATGCTTCTAACTGACTTGGAAGTTTCAACGGATATATGCAGTCTTGAAGAAAACCACAACGTTTACGGTGGAACGATAAATAAAGAGGTAGAAGCTGTGGATAATGCGAACGCTGAAGATTAGATCCAACGCGTTAAGCAAATGCGAACAGTTATTAAACAACAGCAAACATGCTGGCATTAAATAACTTCACAATACTAAATTTCACTTTCGTTTAATGGCGACATTAAACGAAAACTAAGTGATGACAAAATTAACGGTGTGGCCGAATTTTGCATTTTCTGCGTTTTTTTCAAAAAATGGTTCAGTATCAAAACTGCGCAAATTGATCAACTTCTTTCTTCTGACGAAGCAACGCATGTCCGTATTGAGAAACCAAACGAAGTGTGATTATGACATCGCTAAATGG